TATTTTTAATTCGGGGAATCTTGTTAGGTTCTTATTGTTGATAATATAAATGTATGTTTGATTTTATTATTTAAACGTATGTGAAATATTGTTTGGCATTGTAAAGTATGTGCGTGGAGGCAGTAGATTCCGTTCCTTACATGATGCAAGATTCCACATTAGTGTTGATCCACAATGAGGATTTAAAATCCTAAGCAGTAAGAAATATAGACGAATCGTAGTCAAATATAAGAAGAATAATCGATTGTAATTGGTCAATATCTCACGGTGTAAGGCTTAAAATCCTCATTGTAAACCGATACTTATATTAGGGTTTACATCTTTCCATGCGAAGTGAGGTTTACTTTACACGAAAATTTAGGTTTGCGTTAGTTTATATCTTTAGGAAATGTCCTTTGGGGACGGAACCCATTGTGTCCACGCATACACATACTGTATATATACAACGCAAAGCGAGGAAGTGGAACCCTCCGTCTTTTAAAATAAAATATATTTTTGAAACTTTTTTCTCACAATCAGTAATATTTTAACGAAAGATAAACGACGGCTAAAATATTTTGCTCAGGGTCATGATCTTGACGATATATGATAAGGTCATTGGGACTTCTTCTATACTAAATAGAAGATCTAAATAGAACTCTTCTAAATAAATTATCGCTTTGACTTTTATAAATATTTAGTTAATAATTTTTTAATGAAGAACAAGCGATGGCTAAATCTTCTCCTTGACAACATATGTCAAGATCATAAAAGAAAGTTTGATTCTCTAATCTACATATTTACAAAAAAAAAAACGGATAAATGCAAAGAAAAAGATAATCTTTATGGTTTTTTTTAAAATAAATACAATTTTGGTCTACGAATCTTTATTAGTCTGAAAAAATTGTTTAAATTATTGGTCGCAATTTTGAAAAATTTAAAGTAAAATTTGAGAAAAAGGTTATAAAGAAAAAATGTTTTTTTTTTCAAAATTGAATTTATTTTTAGAATTTTTCAATCCATAAAAATATTCCTGTAAACTTTCTTGCGGTGTAATAAATTTAATCTTTTGATTACAAAAATCTTATTATAAATTTAGCCTTTACATTAAGTTTTTTTTGAAAATTAATATCTCTACTAATATATTTCATTCTTAACGGGGTACAATTTTGTCACGTTTCAAATATGCTGAATTATATTGAAGTAGTTCGATTTTTATAAATGTAATTTTAAATCTCTTAAAATTAATGATGTAACAAATTTTTAAGGCCAAAATCGTGTTAAACATAGAAAATTGAGAATAATTATTTTTTTTATGAGTTTAATTCTTTTGTTGTGTACAATATTATAATATCTACATTAGTAGACGCACGGATTTTTTTATTTATTTTGGATGGCTGAAAATGACAATTATTTTCATTTTCACATATCTAAAAATATCTAAAAACAGATTATTTGCTCGGATATTTTTAATTAATAAAAACACAATTTTATTAGTATTTATTAAATATTGATTTGTTTTTGTAAAATAAAAAGATGTTTTTTAATATTTTGTTAAGGCACAATTGGCAACTATTAGAGCCTTGATTCTAATATAGTAATGTTATGTAATGTTTAAATTACAATTTACTGCCAAATAAAAGGAAATTTCTATAAATAGAAATAAAAAACACGTGCGCTCTTTTTGCCGTTGTTTTTGCGCAAAATTATGGTTACATAAATGATAATATTCGGTTTATTACGTTTCATCAGAGGCAAACAGTGGTGATTGACGATGCGTTAGCATCTGAGGCGTCCGAGGTGCAGATCGAGGTTGAACTTTTGTGTGGTTGTGATTGCAAAATCATAGAAAGTTCACACTGTGAGCACGGGGTCAACGAGTGCGGTATATGCAAATGCAACTTCGGCTGGTCCGGTAGGAGCACGTGACGTCATTTCTCTTTTCACGCACTTTAATTCGAAAATATGTACATCTTTGTTAATTACGTTTCGGACATACTTTTACATTTTAATCACGTGAAACTCTTTTTTGCAGGAGATACCTGTGACTGCGACGAGAGTTCTTCGATAGAGAATAGGCTGCAATGTACCAATGGCGGGCAGATCTGCTCAAATAGAGGCGAATGCATTTGCGGTACTTGTATCTGCGATAAAGGATACAACGGACACTTCTGCGAATGTTCTCCTTGCGACAAAGTACGATACGCAAATTGTTGTTAAATGTCAAAAAATATGAAATGATAAAGAGCTATTGACATATAATTGGCCGATAATAAAAATCGAATTATTATTAAACTTGATAGACCGATGGAATCGAATGTGGCGGTCGCGGTATATGCGATTGTGGTGTTTGTAATTGCTTGGATGGATGGGAAGGCAGCGGCTGTCAATGTCCGTCCGGCAACGAACTTTGCATTGCTCCCGGCAGCAAAGAAGTATGTGCTGGGCATGGATATTGTGATTGTGGACAATGCCGGTATGTTATGTATCTCTTATTTATTGAGTGATTTTTTATGTTATATGTGTTTTATAGCACTTTTATATTATATATTTCTTTTATGCATTGAGTGATTTAAATCTAGCTGAATAATCTGAAAATGCAACATTTCAGAAAAAGATGTTTTAAGGGGATCCTAAACCCGAGCTCAAACTCCAAAAATTCGCTGTTTTACCGACGATTTGTGAGTATGTATGCATGCGATATTGATGTAGTAGTGTGTAGAGATCGGAAGAGCACACGTCTGAACTCCAG